TCTAACTACCATTTTTAAGTTTTATTTTCAGCTGACATGTTTTATGTGTAAAAAATAAATGAATTTAGGAACTAAAAGCAAGAAATGCACCACCAAAAAATCATGAGTTTCTTGTTTAATTGCATCAAACATATTAATCAGAAAGCACTCAACATACAATCCATTACCATCTATAACCAAATTCTAGACTTTACAGGGCACAAACCTTGAAGTCCAGAGCCAACATCTGCTGCCAAAGATTTCGCAATTCCAGCAACCTGATCTAAAGAAGAAATACCCAAAGGATGGAAGCATATATGATCTACAACACCAAGTCGAGGATGACTTCCACTATGCAACTCAAGGTCAATGGCGCCAAAGGCAGCTTTAACCATGGCAAACAGAGAATGTTTCAGTGAAGATGAATCTGGCAATGACTCAGGAGCCAATTTGGATACAACAGTATAACCAACCCTATTATAAGTAGCATCCTCAAATTTGTTGACAATTGCTACCCCCGGAAACAACTTGGCAGCTTGTTCAATTGACTCAAGTGCAGCCCTGTTACGGCTTTCGGATATGTATACCTTGCAGCAAGCAAGCATCAACTTCAACATTGTTCTCCGGTGGCGATCACAAGCTGCACCAAAAAGAAAATAGAATAGAGGGTATGTAAAGTGGCATTATCTATTACTTTTGTGGTCAACAAATTTACTGGGACCACAAAACAATCAGCCACTCAATTTAAGCATACGCCATGAAAACACTTCAGATAGTACTGCAGATATTTAATGGAATGAAGGCTATTTTATGCCTGTTGCTGTTCATGGATAATCCCGGTTGACAAATATGGTACAAGTAAAAACATAACTATCCAAGGCAAACAAACACCTAAAAGATCTATCTTCCTGAATCCTGTTTGTCAGACAAAGATTTAAATTTTCGTTCAGAGCTTCTTGGAAGTTCTTTTGTTTTTCTACACATCTTCTCAGAAGCATTTGACTGATGAAAGTAATAGAGATTTTCTTTTTGGGCTACAATGCACTCAACCAAAGTTGTGGCTGAAAGGAACAATCTTAAAGATCCACTTTCAGAATTCAAATTAACTAAAAAACCATACACTGATTAAGCAAGTAAATTTCAAGTGCTACACAATAAAACCTCTACTACAAATCACTAATAAAACCCAAAACAAAGAGCCCCATTCAAAAATCAAGCTCGCTAGAAACCTTTGGGTATCCTTTATATTCTAATTTCTTCTTTACCACACCCAAAGATGCACATATAACATTGAATTTAACCCTCAAATCATCTTTCTTCTTATCAACACTCTCATCCTCTGGGTCTAAAAGTGGGTACTTGTCAATCCACTCCTCAAATTCTCTGATATGCTTTTGGAGCTGGGGCGAGATACAGACTCGAATAGTTGAGTTCCAGATACAGACGCAACCCCTGTAGAATCCTAGCAACTCCCCAGTTTCAAAACCCAGTTTCAGACCTAGCTGTCGAGCATCTTCACGGCCAGCAACCAGACCCTCATTATAACCCTCTTTGAAGCCTTCCTTCATGTGGGTTTCTTCTAGATTCAGGGAAGAATCGAAGATATCTTCAAGAAAATTAGACTGAACAGACTCCATCAAGGGAATTTTATTTTTCAGCACAATAATGTTTTATTGATAGAGAGGATGAGAAAATTAATTGGGAAAAAAGAAGACACACCGATTATTCAACAAAGTAGCTTACTTGAGGGTATTATACATTCATCATCTCTGCGAAGTCAGGTGCTGATATTGCAATTGTGGAGCTTGTGGAGCTAGAGAGACCAACTACTACAAGAGAAAACCCAGTTGGTGGTGATAATTTTCGTGTTTTCTTCTTTTTTTTTTTGGTGGACATGGGCCTGGGCACAGGTAGGCTACGATGAAGTAACTTTATGTTCTGTTCGAATGATTTTGGTGATGGTAAATGTAAGTTAATATTTGGTAAGTTTGCATAATACTAATTGATAAGTTATGATATGTTTGGAAAAATGATATATTAATGTATATTAATTACAGCCGTTTGTTTGAATTAATAAGTTGATGTGATTATATATTAAATTAAATTATTAATATTTTAATGTATATAATATTAAAAAATATATATATTTATTTAAATTGTAATTAAGTTATTTAATTCGAAAAATTATTTAAATTGTAATTTTTATTGATATTTTTTTAAAATATTAAAAAATAAATTTTTATTAAATTTATTTTTTATAGTTAGTATAAAAAATTAATTTAAAATTATAATTTATAATTTATAAATTAAAAAAATCTAAAAAGAAACAAATTGAAAAAAAAAAAGAAGAAGAGAATAAAAAAAAAAAGTAGGTTGGGCTGCTAAGAAGTATTTTGTTCGGAGTAAAATAAAAATTATGAAAATTTAACGAGTGTATACATGAAACAAAAATATTAGCCCGTCAAAAACTACCAAATCAGTAATTTTAAAAAATTGTCTAAAGTTTACTTTTATAATACTATCAAAAGTTATAAGGCACCATATTTTTAGCAAACAAACATGATTTTGACATCCTCCTGCCATATCTTACATTAATGAACTACATTTTACCGTCATCCAAATAGAAGGTGATCTCTATATAGGCGATGCTGAAAAAAGATTAGCACTAAAAAAATTTGCTTACAATATAATGTTCTTTTACCTAAACTTATTTTGAAAATTTTAATTTGATAATTACAGTACTATTAACACATTCATAATTTAAATTTCAATTTTTAAAGAATTAAATATACACATTATGATTATTTCAATTAATAAAACTTAACTGTTATAAGATTTTTTTTTATTTGAAAACATCATAACTTGCTCCGAAAAATTTAATTTGATAACTACAGTACTAATAATGTACCAATAATTTAAACTTTATATCATAATAAACTAAATATATCTGTTATGACTACTTTAACTAAAAAAACTTACCTGTTATAAGATATTTTTTTAGTATACTCTAAAAAATTTAATTTGGTAACTATAATACTATTAACATATCAATGATTTAAACTTTAAATCCTAATGAATTAAACATATAAGCTATGATTATTTCAATTAAAAAAATTTACATGTTATAAGATATTTTTTTTTTTACGTAAAAATATCATGACTTGCTCTCAAAAAATTAATTTGGTAATTACATTACTACTAACACGCTAATGATTTAAACTTTATATCCTAATG